AAAATGTAAACCACCTTAGTAAAAATGAGTTCTCAAGGCAATAGAGTCCACTGGGTTATATTTTTTAAGTTATCAGTAACAAAATCACAAGTGACATTATGAAGTCTCTAAAAGATAAGCTGAAGTCCTCAGTTAAGAGAGGAGGGAGGCTTTTGATTAATAATGTGTGTAACATCTGCATCCAACTGCATCAACAAAATCAGATGGAGCAGGAGAGGTGAAAATTACTGAAAAAAGACAAAACCTCCATGGCTGAAAAACAATTACTTTATTTCCAGGAGTGATTTAAAGCATATTTTGTACATCTTTGCTGAAGTTGAAGGTAAACACAAAATGTGCTGAACTGCCATAACTGACCTCTGTGTGCCCTGTGTACACTGTTGCCTTTTTCCCAACCTGGAAATGAAAGTCAAGATCATTTTAGTAATGTAAGATCAGATCTTTATTTGAAGGTCTTCAGGGGCAGATATGGAAAAATGTTCAGCCTTGGTTCCCAGGAAGAACCAAGACAGCACAGAGGCCTTGTACCTCCTAGAGCTTGGAGATCTGGAATTGGTTTTTTATTTCTGCCTAGGGAAGGGCCATGGAAAATACTGGGAAAACTTGTCCCCAACAGAATAGGTGACAGAGTACAGATATATGTGCGAAGGATACAGAGAACATAGAAAAGAAAAAAAAGGCAAAACCCAAACTGGTGTCAACACCCTCATCCTCCCACAGCATCTGCACCCCGTCCCTGGTTTGTCATGAGGTGTCAGACTGAGGTGTCCTGTTCTGATGGGAATGAGGGAATTCCCCCTTCTCTTAGGTGTCAATAGCAAGTTTGTCCCTGCAGATCTCTGCTCTGGCATGATCACCTGAGAGCTGACACCAAATAATGAGTGTTTGGGCAACAAGAACCCTGTGTACACCTGGCCTTCCATTCCCTCTCCGGGAATGCTGCCACTGCCTCTCGGAGGTCTGAGGGCAGCAATGAAGCCCAGGGGTCACAGCCAAACCTGCAGCCCCAAGGCACCGAAGGGGCTCACTCCTACCGAGTGTGCCTGACCCAGTGAGAAAGGCTGGGATCAGCCAGGGATGGCCAAGGGAGAGCAGGGCCGGGCAATGCTGGGGGGAGGCAACCCCCACATGGGCCAGCAAACCGTATTTGCTGAGCCCCTTTTGCAAATAAAACATTGGGGTTCTGTCTCCTCCTGCTGTACACGCCTCTCCTCCCACTCCTGCCACATCCTGGTGAGGTCCCTGGGCAGCAGCTCAGGTCTGCAGGACATCTCACATGGACAAGGAGCCCGCTGCCTCCTGCCAGAGCACTTCTGGTGCTTGGAACGTGTCCTGGTGTTTGTGCAGAGCAGAGCCCCAGCCCACAGGACAGCACCTCTGGCAGCTTTTGCAGCAGCAGCCATCACTGACTGAAGTGCAAGAGATTAATTTTCTAAAAAAGTTAAAATAAACCTAGTGAGTGCAATGTGCTAGCAAGTTAAAAATAATAATAGGTGCCTGTGACCATGCTGCTGCTGTCTGAATCCTTCAGGGGGATTCAGTTGCTAAGAACAACTTAAGCAGTTTGCCATGTTCCCATGTGTTAAACAACAACCAAATAACTACAGGCAAACGTCCCAGCTGTCAAGCATGAGGAGTGTAGGGGTTGCTTGGGGGAGTAGCAGGCATTTCTCTCCTGTGTTATATCTGCATATTGGATAATTTAAAAGAAAAATTAAATGAGGCAAGGGCAGAGTGGGAAGCATGTTACAGACTCTTCAAAATACCATCCCCTAAAGTTTACAGGGAAAATTCCATTTGACTGGTCCTGCTGTGCTTTATATAGAGCTCTGACAGAAGAACTTTTCCAAGGGGAATGCACTTGCAGATCTTTCAGACAGGAAAAATGAGCTTTGCTCACCTACCCAGATAGAATTTCTCTCTGGGCAGGTCTCAGACACAATGGGAGGAATTGGAAGTGTTGGAAGCAGCATCCATGACTGCTGACTCTTTCACACAAACAGCATTTGGGTATTTTCCATGGGAGCTTCTCCTTTCAAAATATCTCTAATCAATCTTGATTCATAGGAACGAGGCAAGCAATGCCATCTTTGTTTCTTCACGCAGAGATGAAGACTTGAAAAGTTATTTAGGCTTTTAGCAGAAGTCAGTTGATTTTTTTGTGACTTTCCTTTATTTCCAAGGACTTAGTATTCAGCCATATATCTTAGCCTTGTATTGAAAAAAAAATATATGAGCTCAGCGTTTCATTTTTAGCAAGTGGTTTTGCAAGAAAAGGGTGCTGAGAACAAAACAGTCATGACAATTAGGAGAGGGCACCTTATCTGCATTTCTCCAAATGTAGATTTTTTCCATGGGAAGGTAATACTCTTTTGCCATTTTAAAAGTTTCTCTCTGTGTCTAGAGTACATAAACAATAAATAAAGCATAAAGAATAATTTATAAGATTTCAAGTAGATAATAAGTAAAAATTTTAAAACTTTGTTGAGAGGCAGGTCAGTCTAACTGGCAAGGTAGAGCTGAGAGTTGGAACTCTCCACCCAGGGCTTTCAGGCAATGGTGTGAGCAGTACCTGGGCTGTGCCCTGGCACCCTGTGATTTAGGCAGGCATTTGCCTGTGGTGGAGGTACTGTCTCTCAAGATATTGATTCATAAACTGAATATTCTCTTTGTGGACCTTAGTGCAACACTCTTTTAAAGCTCATGAAGCATCATAGAACTCTGTCAAGTCAATATTTCATGTTTTATTAATTCCCTACTTAGCCAGTTCTCTGATTGGTTAAATGTAGTGTCTGTAAACCTCCTGGTTGTATTTTTACCTGAAAAGCTCAAAATGCTAATTTAGGCTGATGGATAAACATGTGCTTAGAAAATACATATATTGGGGGAAAAATATAAAGGAATTAATAAGGGATGAGCATAACCAAAACAAAAAGCTGTACAAGTATATGTCTATACTGTTAACTAGCTATGAAATTTTGTGCAAAGGATGTATCCATATGAAATTTTGTGCAAAGGATGTATCCATGTCATACTTAATTCTCTCAGAATGTGCCTAGCTCTGCACATCTACAGCAATGGAGCCTTCTGTTACTCTATTAATGGACATTAATTGCTGATGTCACATGATGGTCACATACAGCTTCAGTCTCTTCCTCACCTCACTGAAACACAAGAAGTAAACTATGCCAGAACTGAAATCAGTGAGCATCTAAAATATCCCACCTTGAGCTTCTAGCACTTGCTCTGATTCTAGGAGGTGATTGTAGACAGTCTGATATATTCTTATTTTTACAGGACCTTTTTATATATACATAAAATGTGTAAATAGTAATCATGTATTATTGACATTGATGAAACACAGAGGCTAAGAAAGATGTGCAAAATCCAAATATTGCAGAAGTATTACATAATACACTACAGAACAAAAGGGGTTTAATTTTCACTTTCAATGTGGCATCACTCATAGGGTTCCATCTGGAATTTCTCAGAGTGGAAGCAAACACATCAGCTGAAGATGTGATCAGCCCAATAGATTGTGCTGGAGATGAGACATGTTTCAGAAGGCTGTTCTCATCCGTGAAAAGCTGTCACCTCCCCTGGATAAACTGCTCTGCAGACCAAGTGCACCCCACAGCCAGGGCTGCAGGTCATTTCCTGGGCATTCCCTCAGGAATTCAGCTCCAGCTTCCAGGTCCCTCTGCCCATTGAAAACCCTCCCAGGGCTCCTACAAGTACAGATCAGGCTACTTCTTTTCCTTGTCTTAAATTACCTCCTTGAGTTGAGGCATTTTAAGAACAAGAAACTCTCAACTTTCTTTGGTTTTGTTTTGAGTTTTTTTTTTTTTAATCCCTGTACAAAGTTTCAGCATTTATGGAATTTTGCCTTAAATTTTAACAAAGTAATGGCACAGAAGAGAAATCATAAGATCAGTAACTCTTCCCTTTACTTATTTCTGAGTTGAAGATCTAGACTTTAATACTTTTTCTAGTACATTTTTTAAAAATATTCCTATTAAAAAAAAAAGGAGAAGGCAAAGAATTCAATAAGTTTTTTACTTTTGGTCGCTTCAGTTATTGTCTCCATAGAACCATCTGTACATTATCTTGACTGATTAAAACCACATAACATCAAACCTTATCTTAAATTAATTTTCTTTTAGTACTTACTTTAAATTCCAATAAAGTTTGACTGCACATTCTCCATTCTGACACATTCTGAATGTGCTTATCTGCACAACTGAAATCCATGTTTTTCTCCACAACTATGTATAAATTAGATTTCCAATGCAAACTGACATGTTTCAGAGGAATTACAAAATCATTTTCAGGGCAGAATTGATACTAAGTATGAATGATTTTGATTTCATTTATATTTGCTAAACTTGTTTTTAAACCACAACAAAAATATGGAAGTGCAGTCGGTGTAAGTACAGCTATTGGTATATGGCAGATATATTGAAAATCAAACAAAAGCAAAAATATTTTGAAGAAGAGTATTCTTCTTAGACAGGCAGGAGTTTCCTGCCCTGTCTAACATTTGTTTCACATTCAAGACTTCCATAAGCTTTAAGTGGGAGTTCTGGATGGGACAGCTCTGTAAGACTCAAATTCATAGGGAAAAGTGACACGTAGAAAGGAGCTAAAAGCCAATTCACCTTGGAAACTTTAACTGGGTTGTACAGTTTGCCACGATGTTCAATGTATTTCAAAGGTATCCCGTAATAGCCAGCAGTTCTCTACAAAGGTCACTGTAAAATCATATCCTGTATTACTTCATATTTCTGAAATTGTTCCTTGTCTGCCAGCTGTTCAGCTGAACTTTGTCAATGAAAGCAAATTTTCCAGGGTTATCACTCTGCCCCTTCAACTGCATTATCTACAAAGCCATAAACCTGAGTGGAGGAAAAGGTCTGGAAAGGTTTATAAAAGATTCCCTGAGCAGAGATTGTTTCCAGCCTCTCCTCCCGAGCTGAAGCTGGGTTTAGGCTCTCGCCACCATGCCTGCCGATTACAATGGGACCTGGGAAATGGTGACCAATGAAAACTTTGAAGGCTACATGGTTGCTTTGGGTAAATGACAAAATTTTACTTATATCAAGGGAAAATTGTTCAATTCTCAGTCAAATCCTTCTAAAAATTAATGAGTGTTTTCTGTAATGTACATTGTGGCATTAAGGGTTTCTGTCAATCACATTACAAATCAAGTAATTGTTTTCAAAATTGCAATGATCTAAATATATAAGCAAATGAAGGCTTGTAGCCACAGATGTTATTCTTTATTTAGATAAATGAAAAAACTGATATAAGTGGGGAAAAAAGCCCCAAACCAACAAGTTTTCAGATCTAAAAGCTCTTTTTTACTCCTGGTGTATTCGTACTGTAACAGTGGAGCCACAAGCTGGTTAAAGAGGAATAAGATATTCTATAGCAGTAAGGTAACAATAATGCCAGTATTTAATTAGTGCTTTGAACTAATTATGGTACAGAGATGAAAAATTTGACACTTTAACTGATTTTCCACTAGTTTTATCAAAGAAATTTAATCCTAACTGATTGATCTGTTCAGATTGAAATAGAAGAAATACATAAATACATAAACAAAAACTCTTCATCATTATTAATCAACAACTGAATGCAGTTGCAATTTTCTCAAAGCTTTAACTCTCTTAAGAGAAAAAGGCAAGTTTCACTATTCATGGTTTTTAGCTTTTGCATTTGTGGACAAAAAATCAATAACTTCAGGGACATCTGTAAATAATATGCATATACACTTGTGAGGGACAAAAAGAGAGAGTGCTTGAAAATGAGAATAATTGGGATAATGAGAATGATTAGGACAATGTCTTGAATTTCAGGGGAAAGATACACATTAATTGGAGTGATGTTTGTACATATGTGCATATATAAACTATAAATTATATAAACACAATCAGCTATAGTAGTTTAAAACTGCCAATGAATAAGCAAAAATAACCCAACACCAAAACCACTGCAAAGATGCATATGCTGTGGGTGATTCTCAGAAAGAAATGTCTGGAAAAGTGTGAAAAGATATTCTTCTGCTCTTTTTCTCAACATTTAACATTTTGTAGATATTTTAAGTTATAATGTGCTCAGATTCAAAGCACACTGAGGTTTTGAGGGCTCTTTAAAATTCATCTGTCTTTTTAATTAACGCATACACATTTCTATTACTTTAATTAAAGATTAGTTTTGCCCTCTAAGTCAGAAAGTTTGATTTTATCATAAACACATTACAAAGTACTTAAATATACTGTAATAGAACTACATATCATTTTTATTGCTTATATAGTTCAAAATGCAGTTATGAAAACCATGTTTTAATAAAACCTCCCTGATTTTTCTCCAGGAGCTACAAGACCAATATATTAGTCAGAAATAGCATTTCTTTAGAGGTCTAGACATTTCTTCCCTCAGAGAGAACTAAATTTTATGTTGCCTGGCTATAAATCAGCCCCGGAGATACCTTTAATCCACCACAGCAGATAAAATATACCCAAGAAGTCTTGAATATAAATACCGAACAAGACCATTATTCCCCATGTTTAAAAGTCACATTTTTTTTCAAGCCTATCCTCTTACTCAATTCCAGTAGTGCTTCCCAAGCAGGATAATGAATCTAGGCAAGGAAAAGGGCTCCATTAGCGAGGGAGTTGCTGGGCTGGCAGTGATGAACGCCCAGGTGAACGCACCGGAGGATGGCTGCACACCAAACCCAGCTTTCATTCTCCTGCAGAGCCATGGCAGCTGATTCCATTGGCATGCAGCACCACAATAAGATTCCCTGGCAGCTGGTCAGAGATATTTCTTGCAGATGGTGATGCTGCTGGCACTGGGGGCTGGTGGGCAGCCTGGGATGGTGCCAGGGATGTTCTCCCTTTGGTCCAGCAATGCTTCCCGTGCCAAGCAGCCACGTGCAGTATCATGTCAGTCCTCGTCATGAGCAAAATAAGGGGATCCAGGAGATCAGCACTGCAGGAAATGTTTGACAGAATATGAAACAGAAACTGTCAAATGCTCTACACGGATACTTTTGTGACTTTTGACTTTTAATTTGTCTCCTTTTGAACTGCAATTTATTTGTGCGTCTGCTAATGAACAATTATGGATTTCACTTTTTATTTGATTGTTTCTTTTTTCATTAATATAATTTTCATTCTTTTAAGCTAATTAATTAACCTCTTGCATACTCCCAGACTACAGGTTCATCATAAAAGTAACACATCCAGGTCCTCTTGATTACATACTTATTCTCCTTTGATTGCATACCCAGTCTAACATGCTAAATCTCTGATAAGGAGTATTACTCTGAGATCCTTCTTTAGTGAGGCAAAAAAGGCACTATCGGGCTTAATAGCCCCTCTTGTTTCTCATTCTCGAAAAAATTCAGGTGATTAAACACACCAGCATCTATTCACTCCTGGTTGTATGCTCACAACATTCACACAGATATCTCGTTAATAAATAAAATTATTATCAATGGAAGAGCCTCAAGTTGAAAGTGTACTTGTAAATACAAGATGGTTTTTATTTGAAATTATCTTTTTCTCTGAAAAATGCCGCAGGTAAAAGCCGCATGTGTGGAACTGTGTTTCACTTGCTTTATTTTTAATGTGTAAATTTAAATGCTGTGGGGCTTTCTTTTCATTAGTAAATACTGGAATTTTCACTCTCTTTTCTGGCTTTTGGCAGGCATTGATTTTGCAACTCGTAAGATTGCGAAACACTTGAAACAAACAAAGGAGATTGTTCAAAATGGAGACAATTTTAAAACCAGAACACTCAGTACATTCAGAAACTATGATGTGGATTACACTGTGGGAGTGGAGTTTGAGGAGCACACCAAAGGACTGGACAACCGAGTGGTAAAGGTAAAAACTCAGGACCTGGTATCTGTTCATACTGCAGTCAGCACCAGGAGCCTGCAGTTGCCAAAATCAGCTAAATACATTCAGTAAAACCCCAATATTTTACAGACATCAGAGGATTTTTATGAAGCAGAAGTAATTTGCATCCTGAGACAGTTTTCTTTCCTGCTACAAGCATTTATTAGAAATGTAAATCAGGATGGCTACTGAGATACATGAGGACAATCATTAATTAGGTTTTTCTAATAGGGGATTTTTCCAGCTTTTCCCATACACCTAATATATCTAGAAAGCAGCAGAATTGTATTTTTATCTATGCATCCTTCTTAAGGGAACTGGGGGTTGATTCCTGTGAATTTAACACAGCGTCAATAAAACTTTTCATTTTGGGATGGCTGGGTTTTCACCGATCAGTCTCAGCTGGGCAGTTTAACAGTTAGACATTGTTAAAAATAAACCTGCACTCAGCTTTTACTGTTAGGGAAGCTTTGGCAGGGGCAAGAAAAAAATGTGAGCCAAAGCCTGAAGTGTGGCAGGGCAGGAGGGCAGGAGGGCAGCAGTGGGTGCCCCACTGCCCTGGGGATAATTGGAGTAACCTGAGCTCAGAACTGCCCCAGGAAGCTGTGGCCATTTGTTCAGACACCTTTCAGGGAGATTTGTGGACAACACCTGTATCAAGGGCCATGTTGTACTCCTGCCCTACCTCCTGTGGCAGGGTCAGGTCCTGGGGGATTCAAACAAGGCTCTCTCAGAGAAGTCAGGGAGGAGAAAAATACACACAAGCACTGATTCACTTCCTGAATTCAGTTTCATGTTTCTGTATCAATACTGCCTCTGTTTTACTTTCTTCTCACCCTAAAAGCTTAAGCAACACTTTTAGATGTAGAAAGGCCAGTGGATCTTAAATTTCCATTGGCTGTCCTGTAGGAGCCTTGCTAATCCAGCATCCCCTTCCTCCTTTGGTCATTATTCACTGAGTCTCTGCTGATTTCCACACTTCTATTACCACATCTCTATTGTGCCACTCAGCTCACAGCTGAGATCAAAACTTTCTGTCAACAAGATCTGTTTGTTTTGGCAATTGACACAGGAAAAGTGGCAACATAAAGGACATGTTTATATTTGAACTCACATCATCCCTCACTGGGGCGGGGCACAAATTTAGCAGAAGACATGGTTTGTTCACCATGGATCACTTTTAATTCTCGAACCAACTTTGTGCAGTGTAATTCCTATGATTTCTTCCAAATTATTTCTCATTCACAGCACTGCAAGCCATCAAAGAGTAAGGCACATATTTTTTCACTATCCTGAACATCCCTATATTTAAATTTTCTTTCTGTTTCCTTGTCCAGTGGGAGCTGAGTGGAACTAATTCCTGTGACAAAGTCTATGCTTAAAAATACTGCTCCCACATCTCTTCAGATCAGTGGAAGGCATTGCTGAGGATCTAAGGACTCAGTTTCATCACTCCTGAAATCCATTAATTAGTGCTCTTCAAATGCTCTTCACCACTACAAAAGCCTTGCTCTGCAAAGAGGGAGGGAGGGAGGGAGGGAGGGAAGGAAGGAAGGAAGGAAGGAAGGAAGGAAGGAAGGAAGGAAGGNGAAGGAAGGAAGGAAGGAAGGAAGGAAGGAAGGAAGGAAGGAAGGAAGGAAGGAAGGAAGGAAGGAAGGAAGGAAGGAAGGAAGGAAGGAAGGAACTCCTTCCTGGATAAAACCCTAGGGTGCATTTATAATTATTTTTGCCTAATATTCATTTCTAAACAAATAATGTTATTTGTTTCCAGAGAGGAGAAGGAAAAAGGATGCATGTCATGCCATTACTTTCTGAATGGCTCTAAAAGTATTTTCTGGTCATTCTATTAACAAAACAATGCCTCAAACACATTAAAGTTAGATGAAGGTAATAAAATTGGTAGGCAACATTTAAACGTAAAAAGGGCATGGAAAATTTAAAGAGCATGTAGCTTGAAAATTGCATAAATAAGAAAGAAATTAACTGAAATTGAATGAGTTTTGTCTCATTATTAATGGAAAGCTGCCTCATAAGAGAAATAAATCATCCAGTGATGGACTAGAAAATTAAGCTCCCAATACACTTGGATCTTTATAATAACTGAGCTTTCATGGACTGTAACTGGTGTCTAATAAGGAGTGGTCTGATACATGGCTAAATACGTCCATAAAGGACAGTGGTTCAAATGCAGAACAATTCCAACAGAGTTGCTTTGAATGTACCCTGGAACATCTGTAGACAGATAATTCAGCCTGTGAAGAGAACTTTTCCTTGCTGAGGATTATCCTGCTCCTGGACAAGAATCAGTACACCCAGTACCCTGTCTGCTGCTGCTAGACTGAATCATGCCAGAGCAGGAGATGGCTGAGCGTAGAATAGATCTCCTGAGAACACCAGGTCCAACCTGTCTGCTCAGGCAGGGCCAACCACTTTGTCCAGTTTATGATCACACCTTTTAAAATTTCTTATTAATTGTTTTAATACTGTAGGAACTGACATGTGAAGACCTGGTGTGTCATCAGACATTTAAGAAATTACAGTAAAATATACAAACAAATTTAGTGTATGAGATGATAGTAATGTAGTGTTCCTCTTGTTACTTTATGCAGAGCTAGAAAAGGTTAGCATTGCACTTTGCAGTACAAGCCTTCAAATCTTCACTCATGAAACTCTATAACTTTCATTAATGGCTTTAAACAGCAAGGAAAAAAATGCTCTTTACTTATATTGCACCAGTAGCTGTAAAGACACTCAACAATTTACCAGTTAAAGTGAACACTTGTTACTCATGTATGCGAAGAAACACATGGAAATGACAACTAAGCACTGAAAAAGCTTCCCTCTGTCACACTATTGTCATCCTGAATACATTTGGGTTTTGTTTAAATGCTTTGGGGTTTTTTTTTATGAGGAGGTTAGAGAATGATAGGAAGCAACTGCAATTGTGCATTCACATTGTTTGAACTTATTTTTATATGTTCATAAACTTCTGGCTAATGTGAGTTAATTATCTGATTCATGCAGTCCCTGGTGACCTGGGATGGTGACAAACTGGTCTGTGTTCAGAAAGGCGAGAAGAACAACAGGGGCTGGAAGCACTGGATTGAAGGAGACCTCCTGCATCTGGTAAGGGCTGCTCCACAGATCCACAGCACATCACTGAGGCTGCAGCATAGCCTCAGGTTTTCAATTTCAAAGGATTTGGTTTTTTTTTTTCTAGTTAGAAAGGTCTTTAGACAGTTCTGATCTTTGAACTCTAAGGAAATTTCTCCTCCGCTTCAACTCAGGAATTTTCAGTTTCTGTCCACCTGCTCTCAATTAAGTTATAGCCCTGCAGTGGTTTTTTTTGCTCCAATCCACTTCCCTCCAGCTCTCAACCCTTCCTGTTACACTGCAGCTCTAACATAATCTTATTCTTATATAATCACTGGGGGGGAGGGGGAGGGAAGGAAGAAAAAAACCCAATCAGATTGCAAGATAAATGTTATTATTTTTTCTGAGCAAAGCAATATGAAATTTTAGTACACTGTGCTGTAATACAGATCAGAAACCCCTGCATATTCAAGAGGATCCCACAAACAGCCTATACTGCAATTATTTTTTCTTAGTTCAATAATAAATTCAGACATCTAAAGTAGCAAGCCCAAAGATAGATGTGGTGAGTCCAAGAGAGGTCAGAAAAGCCTGTGCAGGAAATCAGCAATCAGTGATGTGCAGAAAGATTTCAAAAATAACAGTATTGTAGAATCACAGAATCATTAAGGTTGCAAAGGACCTCCCAAGATCATGAAGTCCCACCTTTGAACACCGCCGTCCATTAACCCATATCACAAAGTGCCACATCTACTCATTTTTTGAACGTTTCTCATAATGATAATGATTGCAGAGTTTCCTGGGAAAGCAATCAGAAAATGAGCGTGACAATACTGGGTGGCACAGTAGGTGGATGGAGAGAGACTCTTGAGACGAGCCCATTGTTCTGTCCTAAGCTTTGCTGCAAGCAGTCTGCTCCTTCATGGGTTTGCTCTACACGTGCTTGGTGTGGGCAGTGACACTGGCTCCCACCTCTGTGCCTGAAAGGGCAAAGACAGGAACCCAAAGACACCCAACTAAAATCACCTATCCAGTGCACTTCTCCAGCTCTGTCTGAACACACATTCAGAAGCTGACTTAAAATATTCTACATGTTGGCAGCAAGATTTAGACTGAGGCTGGTGGAAATAAAGCCAAGCAGATCCTTACAGCAGTCTTCAGAAAGTGTCCTGCAGGTCTGGCCCATTGCTGGCCACCAAGGCAGCTCCAGTCTCTCTAAAGCCCTGCTTGGCTCAGGAATGCTGCCTGATGGCACCAACCAAACTGGCTGCATTGCAACGTGCCAGCCTTCAGGGGGGTACTGCAGCCCTGGGCAGCAATGGTGCATTGTTCTGGCTCTGAGAAACGGCTGGGCACACCTCTGAAGCAAATCAGCTTTTCAAAGCATTCCTCTTTTTTTATTTATTTCCTTGTTTCAGTGAATCTAATGAATTTTGAGGTAACATGAATTATAAACTATTACAGTATATTGTTTTAATAACAGAACATGAAAATGCCTTGAATTAAAGCAAAATTTTAATGCATTGTTCATGTTTATTCTTTTTAGAGTTCAATTCATGTATCAAAAACTAATTATGACAACATGAGGTGCATACCTGCTGTTTGGTTACACAGAGTGCACTTTTCTTACTGTTCTCTGTTTCATAAGCATGTTTTTAATGCAGTGGCTCAGTTGTAGCAATTTCTGGCAGGATCTGATATATATGCAAAATAAAACTTCTACCACTATATACTTACTAACTGTTTTAATACTGTAGGAACTGACATGTGAAGACCAGGTGTGCCATCAGACATTTAAGAAAAAGAACTAAAATGGAGCAGAAAGCCTCCCAGACCTTCATCACAATGTTATGCTGTTATGTTTTGTCTAAAAAGAAGAATGAAGCCAGATTTTCATTCCTTTGACTCTTCTGTGTGAAGATATTATGTGCCTGTTTATGGAAACAAACACATTTTATAGAAATAACATCAAATAGTTACAAACCTCATAAATTCCTTTGCCTTTCAGTCTAGAGTTAAATAAAAGTAATTGTCTTCCAAATTATGTTTCCCTACATCTTTATAATGACTTCCAGAGGAATGTCCATTAGCAACAAGGCTGAAAATTAACAGTCACAATTATTTCAGTCACAGTCTATGTCTCCACAGTGCTGTATTATCATAATGTCTCTGGGTGACTGAGCAACACTGGATATTCACTGGACTGTTTCTATTTAATGTAGTCCTGGATCACTAAGTCCACAGTTTCAGGCAACAAAATGCCTCACTGAGCACAATACATGTCCTTTCACATCAGGACTGTTCCTTGGATTTGGCCCAGGTCTAAAGCTGCTGCTGGTTATCACTGGATCAATATCTCACGGCCTTTGTGAAGCGCTGCAGTTACTCAGTGTGATCCTAATATGGATCAATGACAATGCTGTAACTTCCAGTTAGAACTGGCAGCCTAATTACCATCCCAGTGGAGAAATCTGCTGTTTGAAGCAAATCCTGCATTGAAGAGTTGCTCCATGGTATGAAAACTAAGGCACGCTCAGGACTGTGAGAGGAAAACTGCAGAGTATACACAGTCTGCATGTTCCCTGTGCAGAAAGAGTGCCCAGCATGAGGCAATCTTCACCTTGTACCACTTTCAGAGACTGTAAAAAGAAAAATATTTTCCATGCAATTCTTCTCAGTTTTATTCAGGGTTTTTCAAAATAGTTCATATTCTTTGCTAAAGGCAAATTTAAGTTAGCCATGGATGATGAACACTACTTCAGTAGATAGAAACTTTTATTATTCAACAAAATGTGTGCACATTTGCCCCAGATCTTGTATGCCCAAAAGCTCATCTGCTTTTTCCCAATGACATGAATTATTCTAATAAAATAGACTGTCTTTCCTATAACATTGCCTTTCAGATAGAAAAACTTTCATATCAGCTTTAGCACTGTTAAGTTCCCTCTTGTCCATAGACCCCCATCTTCTGTTTAGTATGGGAGGAATGAAAATCCACTAAACAGATCAGTGGAAGTACAGAAAATATGTGAAAAAGCTTTGGCAGAAATGGAGTAGCATATGCTTTCTCCTCATCTCCACCTGCTCCTCAGCCCACTCACTAACTGTCAATAGCTCAGGGTAGGAAAGGAGGGAGTCTCCCAGCTGACAACTAGGTTACATCTGCAAAAATCTGATTAATATACCAGCAATACTTCTATGGCCATTACCATTATCCTGGTTCCAGCTGGGATTGAGCTAATTTTCATTTTAGTAGCTAGTACAGTAGTGTGTTTTGGATTTAGTATGAGAATAATATTAATATCACACTGATGGTTTAGTTGTTGCTAACTAGTGCCAAGTCAAGGACTCCAGGTTCCCTGTTCTGCCTGTGAGGAGGGGCACGAGAAGCTGGGAGGGAGCAGAACCAGGACAGCAGACCCAAACAGGCCAAAGGGATATTCCACACCACAGAATATCATGCTGCGCTATAAAGCTGCAAGAAAGAAGAGGGAAAACTGTTGTGTTTGGAATGGCATTCCCCAATAATTCCTTGGTTTTCCTGAGGAGCTGTTACACGTGATGGATCCCATGGAACCGGCTTGTGCATGCAGCCTTTTCTTCACCCATCAAACTGTCTTTAGCTCAGCCCTGGAGCTCTCTCAGGGATTGGCTCTGTGGTGCTTAGTTGCCAGCTGGAATTAAGTTACAACAGGCATAGAAGTGCATATGTCAGGATATTTTTAAGAATTGGAATTTGCTTCTCCTGATAAAAGTTGACTTGGTATCAAACTTCCTGTGTCCGTTGCCTGGGCAATGCTTTTATGTTAGCTTGCACAGAAGAAACAGCACTTGGAGTTAGTAAACTCCTTGTTTTGTCTTATTCAGCCCTGACCTGGACTTTTCAGTAGAAATGTATTTAATTCACAGTTCCAAGTCTCTGCTAGTTACAAGGATAAGAAAGTACTACAGCTCATTAAGCTTTCAAATATTACCAGAATGCAATCACTAGGAAAGAAAACGTGTATGTTTTAATCAGTGACATTTCTCCTCGTTGGTACTTGCCAGGCGTAACCCTGTTTGTAAATTCACACCAAATCATAAATCCAAAGAAAACCTTTCATTTATCACAAGGAACTACCATCAATTCAGTAGTGATGAGTCTGAAGAGGGAAAGCAAACATTCTTCAGCTGGTTTCTTATTATGCTCACTAGCTCTGTCTAATGGTTGTTGTTCAGAAGTAAAGGAAGCAGGGAATTGAGCACAAGTAGACTTTAATTGGGAGGAAACTGGATTGACCCTAATTTTTTTTTCCTATCTTGACAAGAAAATTTCAGACTTTTTAATGGGAAGTGATGAAATATGCAAGGTTTTTTACTCTCCAAAACAGCATTTTATTTTTGCACAGACTGATACACAAGAACTTGCAACATCCTTTACAACTGCACACACAGTGCTGAAGACAGAGGAGATACTCATTCTGTTGCATTATAATTCCTTCCAAAGTTATCCTTGTTTGTATCATATTTGTGATGTTAGGCTGGTCTCTAAGCTGCTCAGCGTCCCTTATCTCCTTGTCAGCAGATTAAATACTTGTGCTGGAGGAACAGACCTTGCTGGTAAATCAAAGAATGTTCATTCACATTTTTTCAGCCCTCTGGCTGTCTCAGTGCTGTCTCAGCTGTTTTGAAGGATTACCATTTGCATGGATTCTTTTCCTCACAGAGAATATTGCTCAAACACAGCCCCAGGAAGGGAATTTATCAGCAACCTTCTGATCCAGTGTAGTGGGTTGACCCTGGGTGGGTTCTTGGAACCCCCCAGAGCCTCTCTCTCCCTCCCCTCTGCAGCTGCACAGAGGAGACACAAAACAGCAAAGGGTTCATGGGCTGAGATAAGGACTGGCAGAGAGATCCCTCACCAGACACCATCACGGGCAAAACAGGCTCTAATTAGAGATATTAATTGACTTCATCACTCACAAAACAGAGCAGGACAATGAGAAGCAAAATCAAACCTTAAAACCACTTTTCTCCCACCTCTCCCTCCTGCCCAGCTCCACCTCCTGCCCACAGCGGTGCAAGGAGCCAGGGAATGGGGGTTATGGTCAGTTCCTCACCCACGGCTCCTCCTGCTCAGGGAGAGGACTAGAGGAGTCCTCCGTGCTGCACATGGGGCCCTCCCATGGGAGACAGCTCTCCAGGAACGTCCCCAGTGTTAATCCCTCCCACAGGAAACAGTCCTCCCAAAACTGCTGCAGTGGGGGTCCCTCATCCACGGGGTGCAGTCCTCCGAGGACAGGCTGCTCCAGCCGGGGAGCAGAGCCCCTCTCACACAGGCCTGCCATGGGGCCACGGCCCCTCCAGGATCCCCCGAGCCAGGGTGGGCTCCTACACGGGCTGTGGGGGATCCCTGCATCCCTGCGGATCCCCACGGGCTGTGGGGGATCCCTGCATCCCTGCGGATCCCCACGGGCTGTGGGTGATTCCTGCACCCATGTGGATCCCCACGGGCTGTGGGTGGTCTCCGGATCCCTGTGGATCCCCACGGGCTGTGGATGGATCCCCACGGGCTGTGGGGGATTCCCACGGGCTGTGGGTGGTCTCCGGATCCCTGTGGATCTCCACGGGCTGTGGATGGATCCCCACGGGCTGTGGGGGATCCCCATGGGCTGTGGGTGGTCTCCACATCCCTGTGGATCCCCACGGGCTGTGGGTGCTCTCTGGATCCCTGTGGATCCCCACGGGCCGTGGGTGCTCTCTGGATCCCTGTGGATCCCCACGGGCCGTGGGTGGATCTGTGGATCCCTGTGGATCCCCACGGGCTGTGGGTGCATCCCCACAGGCTGTGGGTGGTCTCTGGATCCCTGTGGATCCCCACGGGCTGTGGGTGGTCTCCGGATCCCTGTGGATCCCCACGGGCTGTGGATGGATCCCCGTGGGCTGTGGGGGATCCCCACGGGCTGTGGATGGATCCCCACAGGCTGTGGGGGATTCCCACGGGCTGTGGGTGGATCTGTGGATCCCTGTGGATCCCCACGGGCTGTGGATGGATCCCCGTGGGCTGTGGGGGATCTCCACGGGCTGTGGATGGATCCCCACGGGCTGTGGGTGGTCTCTGCCTCCCCCATGCCCCCCTGGGCTGCAGCTGCCTCACCTGGGGCTGCCCCTGGGGCTGCAGAGGAGCCCCAGCCCCGGTGCCTGGAGCTCTCCTGCCCCTTCCCCTGCCCCTGCTGATGCTCCTCTCACCTCCCACCCCACTCTTCTCTGCTCTGGCCGCAGCTGTGCACTTTCCTTTTTCTCTCTTCCCGAATCTGCTCTCCCAGAGGTGCTGCCACCATTTCTGACTGACCAGCCTGGCCAGCAGCACGTCCTTGTCTGGAGCTGCCAGATTGGCTCTGCTGGACACAGAGGGAGCTTCCAGCAGCTGCCCACAGAAGCCACCCCTGGAGCTCCCACCCTGCCAAAGCTTGGCCATGCAAACCCAATAAATCCAGAACAGAAAAGCCTGAACAACTCAAAACCACTTCCTCGTGAGTGCAGTACTGGGGAAAGAATCACTACTATTGCCTGCTACTGAGCTTTTCAAATGACAATGACAAAGCTGTTTGGAACAAATGTTTATGGTGGAATTTCTAAAAACCTCTGCATTGAGCCAACTTTTTTTTCCAAAAAGTTAAGCATTTTATTGCCAACCGCTAAAAGAAGAGAGCTGCATTGCAGGCAGAGGCTGTAGAATAACACTGTTAGAGCTGCTACCAGTTGTGCTCTGGGCAAAGCCCTACAGTGCTGTCTTCCACTGCAGCTCTGGAGGGTCACACGCATGCACAGAATGTCTTCCTAATTTGTCATGGATATCCTGGATGCTCTGCTGCTTGTGAAAGATACTCCACTGTCATCTGGCAAGAAATCTGAGGTTTTCAAATCAACATTTACTTCAAAATCTGATGGAGACAAAATTAAATTTTAAAAAATGTTGCTTAGTAAGATTTATTTGTATTCTTCTAAGCAAGGGTATATAGTTTTATTTAGTGGGGAGAGATTGATAGAAAGGATTTCTTT